TCTAGCAAGGTGATGGAATTACTACGGAGGTACTCCTGAAACTCACCTGACATCCACCTTTGATCCGGATCAACATACACCACTCTCGGGGGTCCGTAGGGCCTACACCACAGTGCATGGAAAGCCTTAGCCACAACTCCCGGACCAGCTGGCAGGACGATCTGCTGTGCGAAATCGGAGGCATAGTCGACTGCAGTAAGGACATTGTACTTAGTTTCGATGGGTCCACGGGGTCCTTCTTTCTTAAGCTCTACTTGCACAAGATCAAGGCCTACGATGTGGTTCGGGGTCTCTGTATGCCGTAGGGCTGCTACTCTATGAGTCGGAGGAACCTGGAGTTCTTCGCACACAGAGCACTTGAACTTCCGAATTTCCGCAATCAGATCGGCCGGTGCCTTGGCCCGCTGAGCAAGACGCAGCATCTGGGGAACCGAAGCATGGCCAGTATTGACATGCAGCTTTTGGATCATAGCCGCATATGATCTGCGGTTGGCGGCTCGCAGCCTCGGTTCCTCATCTGGGTCGCCCTCTTGGTCAGACTCTCTCTCAGAGTCTGCTTCATCGTCTGTCTGCATGAAGATGTCGTGCTCTGGAAGAACCTCTTTGTCCCTACTGGCCAGTGCACGCACCAGCTTCTTGCAGAACTTCTGTGGATATCGCCCCCCATGATCCCGGGGCCTTTCTGACACGTGTGCATGGGATTGATGCCCCGGGCAGTGGCACGATTGCAGGGCGGACACTACCTTAGGATCGCTAGACACTATCCTAGTGGGGCGTTGGATGGGAAGCTTAGTCTCATGATCAACCGAACCTAAGGAGCACAGGTCTATATCAACCTCAAAGGCGGGGCCTATGTTAATTTCGGACCAAACCTGAGATCCTACAGGGTTCTCGGCATGTATGTGTCCACCCAGCATGGTTTGCAGGGCCCAGGCACGCTCAAACAGACGGAGGAACGGGCGTTCCTTCTTGCGTCGGGCTAGCACAGACCTTGCAGCCTCTCCACCTTTGGCCAAGCTAACCTGCGACCACCCCGACCAACTTGCACAGGGCCATGAAAACCATACGTCCTTTGACCTCGAAAAACCCAGAAGAAGAAGCAACAACCGCCTATCCTTCGCCCTGTTGAAATCCTGACCGAAGCTAACTCCTAACCTGATGCTAGCCAGACCACGGCCACGCTCGCAGTGGTGAGACAGGCTTGCAGGACCGGCGAACACCTCTACGAGGCCCACTTGTTGTTTCAGCTTGGGGGCTTGGGGGCCGAGCCAGGTTGCAAGTTCCTGCTCTACCTGCTGAGGTTGTTCCTGGATGCTGGCTAGGGCAAGTTGGAAAGGAACTCGGCGAACAGCTTCGACTTGTCGGGCAATACGTTTTCGGCTTCGGGCATTCATTGGGAGATGTTCTAGGGAAACCCAGTCGACTTCTTCATACATGGCTTCTAGTTCAGGGGGACTTATGGTTTCCTCGTTTGGATGTTCCCGGACAGACGTGTTCACATCAGATCTCATCATCATACTGCAGCATTCGCACCCTTCACAGGAAGAGTGTCTCCTGGCGTCAGTGTGGCAGGTCGCTGCCGTTGTATTCAAGGATTCGGAATTACACTTAGATAGGCATTCAGGCTCAGCAGCACAGGCTGCCGGAACTTCAAGCGAGTCATGCTTCCTCAACATGTCTGCAGTGACGGCCTGCTCCTGGGCCGTTGCGTATCGGTACGCAAAGAGGCATGCTCCAGGCCGGTCGAACACCGCCCTCCTGGCCGAAGGCTCTCTAAGGGTCCAGGGCGTGATTTCTAGTTCACCTGATTGGTTCAGGTGGGCCGCACATGATTGCATGCTGCAGGAAGCTGCTTGTTTAGGAAGGCGTTCAAACCTAGGCCTGTAGGCACACAGAGCAAAGTCTACATCCTGACCAAAGACCATCCGAAGTTCATACCGATAAGTACCTGTATCCACTTGGGTATATCGGGTGTGTTTCATTATGGTTTGGAAGTGCCTGCGCTTATCTACACTGGCCGCCTTGTCCTTAGGGGGGTCTTTCTTAGGACTAGGCTTCGGGGTCTTAGGGGAAACCTGCTCGGGATGTTCGTGCTCATTCGGGGTTTCCTTAGGGTCTACAGGGGTCTCTGCCAGCTGCACTTGGAGCAGGTCCTCGTAGTCCTCGGTTGGGACTAGGGGCATCAGGAGATGGCCATTGCTCGCCTGGGCCAAGGGCTCATTCTTGAGTCCGTGTTTTTCGCTCGACAGAGTGCACTTGCCGAGGTCGATCGTGGCCTCCATGCTCTGCAGGACCTTGCGGCTCAGGAGAAAAGGAGCCTCGCCCTCCACCAGGTAAGTCGTGACCTGACCCCACAAGCTTCCAAGCTTGACTGTCCACTTGAGGCCACGATCTGAGGAGGAGCGCATCCCATTGAAGCCCTTCAGCTGGACAGGAGGCAGAGTGACCAGGGTCGGCTCGGGGATGCTCCTCGCCTTGAAGAACTCGATGTAGCGATCGGCTGTGCGCCTCCCGATCACCGAGGTGGTGCACCCCGTGTCTATCACAGCCAAGCCAGGCGGCACGGAGACGGCAAAGATCTCCTGGTCATCCTCTGGAGCAGCGTCCTCGGCCGAGACCATGTAAGAGAACTCGGTCACCAACGAGGCCTGCACGAGGCTCACGTCCTCCTTGCGGCCCTTGCGGCCGCCCTTCCCCTTGTCATTTGTCCGTCGGGACGGCTTCCGGTCATACCGGAACGTAGGTTGCACCGGCATGGCGTCGGGGGGAACCGCATTTGATGAGGAAGGCGGGATCGCCACCACAGGCATGTAGGGTTGCCTGTCCTTCCGGATTTCTTTCACTCGTCGTCGGCTATCCTTGTAGCTCCGGAAGGCGCGCTTTGCATCGTTCTTCGCCTTCTTCTGGATCTCATAGGCCTCCTCCAAGTCCTCATCATCGTCGTTCTCTTCGTCGCCTGTAGCCGCCTCGTTGACCTCATCCTCGTCCGAGTAAGTGGGCTCACTCAAGCTGCTTCCCTCTTCGGCAGCAAGGACATTAGCCCCTCTTGTCGGCCGAGACGACTGACCTCGGGGGCCCGGGTCGTGGAACTTGTCCTCGTAGTCGGAGGCACGGATCACCTTCTCCACGTCCCTGAACCGGCACGAGCCACCGGTCGAACGAATCACCTGGCTTCTCTGTTCCCGATTCAGCCCGTACTTCCTCATGAACAGATGTCCCAGGATCACTTCTGGAAAGATGGGCTTCACCCGGAGATGCCCGACCTCCAGCTTCCCCAAGTCTTCCATCATCTGTCGGTTGGCTCGTTCATCATCGGCCTTCTGTGTCCCGCGGCTCCTCTGAGAGCCGCCTGCTGAAGGAGGCTTTTTCTTAGGAGACTCCACGAAGCTGCCGACCGTGCGCGGGCCCTTGGAAACACTGGCCGGCTCAGCTGGTGCACGGGCACCCGAAGGAGTCTCAGCGGCCGCTGCCGCCGCTTCCACCCGGTCCTTGGTTAAGACCGGCTCTTCGTCCTCAGCATGATCTGAGCTCAAGCTGCTCGTAGAAGGCTCCCCATCCGGACTGGATGTCCGCTTCGACGATCTCCTTCTCTTAGTCGATCCCTTTTGCTGTGCCTTCTCCGCAGCCACCAAAGTCTCAAGCCGGCTGAGAACCGCCTTGAAACGCGAAACGAAAGCTGTGGGCCCCTCGTGGCCCTTCCGTTTCAAATGGAAGAGAAACTCATCCACACACTCGTTCAGCTCGGTCTCCGGCAAATAGCGGTAGTGCTCGTCCAGAGCCTGCAGAACTCTCAACCAGCCCTTCTCAGACCTAAGGTCGCCAATGGCGAGGTGCTCAGTCGCTCGCCAAGCTTCCCCCGTCAAGCGGTTCAAGATCCGCGGGCCAGCCAAGTATACATGCTTCTCTTCCAGAGAAGCCACACTCAGGAGGATCTTCCGCCTGAACAGCCGATACTCCGATGGAGCACCGTTGAAGACCAGGTCCTTGAACGGGTCCTTGTCTGACATGGTGCCTGGGCTCGCGGCTATCGGCTTTCCCAAAGGATATCCTTCTCGAGCGCCTCAGCGCTCCGCTACCATGTAAAACCGAAGGTGGTTCACCGTC